ATTCAAAGAAACCATTGTACTTAAAAAGTTTGTTTGTCTTTTCATATCATTTTATATGGCTCTACAATACAGAATGTTGAAAAAGAAATCCAATAACTTTCAATGAAAACAATTTTTCGGTTCAAGATAAATTAGTGAACCAAATTGAGCCATCGTGTATTATGGTGCTGTTTAGTATATTTCCCGTAATTATGTCGGTATCGTTCAACGCATCTGTTATAAGTTTCGCCAGATTAAAGAAGGAAGCCTGTAACGACATAAAATTATGTGTGTGTTCTAATTTGTTTTACTTGCTGTTATAGCCGCGTTGTGGCAGATGATATCTGTAGTGATTATAAAAGGTTTAGTAATTTTCATTATCAGCAAATGTTACAAAAATTTATCTAAAGACCTACAACAAATGAAGCTGCGGTCGGTATCAAACACAGAAGTCAAAAATTTCACCGAGAAACAGAACCAACTTTGGGAACTATGGCAAGAAGTGACCAGAAAGCTTGGTTATTTTCCACTTCTTTAATATAGACATTTCTATTTGACATGTTTCTTTCTCTACGGCGCACTGTTTGTTGATTTACCTACACTGTTAATGGTTCTGTTCTGGTTTATTTTTATAATCTTGATATTTAGAATAAATTTTTAAGCTTCACTTATTGTATCGAATGTTACATCAACTGTAAGTTTTGATTTTTATTATTTCTAATGTTATATGTTCGTACGCACTAAAAGAACCGTTAAACGGGCAGTTAAAACGTAGATACTTCTATTCTAATGGCTGTTCTTTGTTTTATTACATTTTAGAACTACGAAATTTTTGTGACATCAATGTATTGGCAATTTGTAATTTCAATGTCAACCTCAAACTCTAAGTATGTTTTGTTGTAACTTAATTATATTTGTGTTAACAAGCTCTTGCTGTGATTATGTTACTTTATTTTGCAGATTCACACATTTATGAAAAGATTTGAAAAAATGCGTATCGGTATTTGTATTGCAGAATTATTTCTTGACAAGGATAATTTCATCCTTAGAGTAAGAAATAATTAAATGTGCGTTCGAAACTTTAAATCTTAATGGTAAAATGTGCGTTTCGTTACATAAATATAATTTATAAGAAAAACATTCATAATGTAAAACACATATAATATTAAAAAAATGATTAATGTAAAACATGTGAACAACAGAAAATATAGCAGATATTTTAATTAACTATCACATGAAAATGAATTATAATAACAATTACCGTTATCTACATTGAAACTCGTCAGTTAATTTTGTTATTAATGAACATTGTCTTCTAGTTTTCATTCTTTTCATTTCGATGTTTCGCATTTGATATACTACTTTCGAATTGTTTAAATGTTATAACTTAAAATATAGTATAGTCATCGTTATCCATAGAGAGCATAAATAAATAATTAACTGTAATTGGCTCTTCCTGTTTCCAGACTGATTAGAGAATTTTTACATGGGTCTAAAAATATGTTCGATTTCTAGCAGAAACACTAAAAACCGCATCTTCGTCTGTAAACCTTGCACTTCGGTTTCTCTTAAATCTTTTATTGTTAACACTTCTATTCTTAACATTTCCATTGTTAACACTTTCATTTATACTTAACACTTTCATTCTTAACATTTCTACTGTGAACACTTCTATTGTTACTTAACATTTCCATTGTTAACACTTTCATTGTTAACGCTTCACGCGGGGGAAAATTTCGAAAAATCTCTTTTTAGTGTCATAATAGTGTCATATACTCGTCGCGTACCGTATTAAATCGCAATAAAAAACAAAGAAAAAAATCACATTTAAAATGGGATAATGGAAGCCGAGATTATCACGAAAAAATGTAATCCTGTCCCTCTCTTCCGACAGGAAGAATTCCGAAAAGATTCCTTCTTAGTGTATGTTCTCGTGACATACCCTAACTGTGTACCAAATGTTCTGCACTTATTATTATTATTATTAATATGAACTTATTTCGAATGTATATAGATTACAATTTATGTTACAGTTTCAATTAATTATAAACTTCATTTTACATTTATCGAATGATAAACAGTAATTTCCCGTAACCCTTTCCGGATCACGAGGCATGTGTGACACGCCCGGTGGCAGTTTTTCCGGCAGCATTTTTCCAGAAATTTTTCAAAAAATTTCAAAAAATTCAAGTTCTGTAATTTTTTCGTGCTGGAAAATTGCAATAAATAACGTTTTTAGTTTGTGCCGAGTTTACTCGCAAAAACAAGTTGAAAAAGTGCCAACGTCTCGCAAACTCCGCTTGAAAATTTGAATAAAAAATTCTGCAAAAAAACACGCTTGCGATAATCGCTACCGTCGGTCGCGACCGTCGCGATCATTTTTTTCCGCAATCAATTTTTTTCTTACAATAATTTTTCTTATATCAAGAAAAAGATCGATTTTAGTCGGATTTTTAAGTGAGATATCGCAATTTATTATTACACCCAGCGAAGTCTCATTATACTCTGCGAGAAATTGCGTTTGTCCATGCGATAAATAACAGCAAAACAAATTTTTAAAATTAATTACTCTAATACAAATTGCGCTAACTCTACAATTTTTGTTTCTTGGTGTAACAATTTAATTTAGGTATTTCCGTTCACAACATTCTTATGAGTAAAATGGAATGATAACTTTGTCTATTGGTCGAATTACAAGTCAGAAATTAACGTTTGAAATAGAGTCATAAAACAATTAACGTTTATTGACTTTCACTGTAGGAGGTAACGGGGGATATGTTGAGAAATTTTCTCGCAGTAATACGAAATTTTTACTGACTTCGCTTGAAACAGTCATATTTCTTTCTCATTTACAAACAAAAATCGATGGCAATCGGTAAAACACGAGATGAATTACATCGAGTTAAAATTTGATATGTTTATTTTTTGCGTTTTTCGTATCAAATTACATTAAATTCCACACAAATAAATCATTTGTGTCAATGTAAAAATATTTTACACTGTTGAAAAGTAGAGAAAATAAAGAAAACAAAGATGTAATAATAGTTTATGAAGCGAAGCGAATAATTTTATAATTTTAAGAAAAAAATAAAGTCTGTGAAACGTCACGTGACTGAAGTATTGTCGGAAAAACACGCGATCTAGGAAGTTAATTAATACCATGTTTGTCGCTGAAATTGTGTCAATTGTCATGTTCTTAACAAATTTCTAGAATATTTTCGTTAATCGTAATTAAACATGACATTCAAAATGAAATCTATCTTAACTGAATAAACATACCAATTTTATTTCTTATCTTTTATTATTATTCAGATTTTATTACATTTGACAGTGCTATTCACAGAGTTATCTTTATAAGGAAATTGTGCTCTGATCTGGGTTTAAGATATTAACATGATTTTATTCATTTCTCTATAGAATTATATTATTTACATACAGATTTATTACGAAGTTGATACATAAACATAATATTTTCATTCATTCTCGCTTTAAAAATGTATACAAACTCTTGTTTTTAAAACAAAGTTTTACAATGTTTGGTAATATTTTGAATAAAGCTTTCATCCAACTTTTAAAATCGTTGTTCGTAATCTTACATAATTGCATTGATTCAGTAATCAAACTAATTATCCTAATTGTTCTTCAAATTTGACTATAATAATTATATGCCAACAAATTAAAAATATAACTTCGTATAATATACGAAGTTTAATTAAAATAAATTAATTTTTTTTTTCATTGTGAAAGAAAAGACTGTCAAAGTGAAAAAGTTTCAGGTTTAGTTATTGTTATTTTTATTTTCTATGTTGATTGATCTAATGTTTATAAGTTTTTTACAGTTTAAATGTATTTTTGTTCACTACAAAGCTGGAATTTGTTTTAAAAACGAATGTGTATTTGAAAGTAAGAGACAATTGAAATTATCTTCATAACACATTGAACTTCTTCTATGCCAGTTTATTAGTTGAAATAAACGTATTTATTGTGTCCATTTTGTTATACACTACTTGGTAGTCTGCAGACCAAACACTACTCGGCATATAATGTGAATTGTGCACTTCATAGGAAATTACATCATAAGTGTTATCTGCCTGAAAAACGACAGTGGTCATGTGGAGACATCACTAGCATTTTAATACATATGAACAGGTTTACTTCAGCAATGATCTGCAAACTCAGAAGTAACATTTGAAAATCTTCTCAGCAACGTGAAAAAGCAGAAAGAGCAGTAAAGAATTGATTTTTTATTGTAAAAATTATTGTGTGATTAATTTTTTTAACAAGAAGCTCTTTTATGCTAATGTTTGTTGAAAGGGCATATAAAATTTGTAAATTTCCTCAAGGTCATTCGTTAGCTTTATTTTATACCGACAGAAAGAACTCTGCAAGTAAAGTCTCTTCTAGTTAAAATGACTTAATAAGAAACAACAGTATAATATTAAATAATATTAAAACACAGTTAAAAAATTTTGGAACCACTATCAACCTAACTGGAATGGCTCGAAGAGAAAAACAAAAATATATTGATAATGAATTTTTGGCTAAAAATATAATCAATGGTTTAGATGAAGTTTGTCAGAGTGTTATTAAAAAGTTGCATACAGAGAGACAGATAGGTAATTTAAATGCATAAGAAAATATGCATTTCAGCACAACGGAATTTAATATTAATTCTTGTGTTTCGAAGTAAACAATGATAGCACTCCATTGCAACTACGCTACAGTTAATAAAAGAGTGTCGTTCTGTCACCACTGTTCAAGTTTACTGAAGAATATAAATTAACTGGACTCAAAAAGCAACTCATAAATTCTAAGAAAATCGCAAGTAGTGTAAGAAGATTTAATTCGGCTATTCATGACAGCCAGGTATGTAAAATGGTTACTTAGCAACTAAACTTTGTAATATTAACCATACTTGCAGTTATTCAAATAATTACTGTATATATAAAAGTGTTTTTTAGAAAAATTAATATCAAGTATATTTTACATGAAAAATAACAGCAAAAAGTATAAATTGCATATTAACCAAGTTCGAATATACACAGGAAAGTCTGAAAAAGTGCCATTTCATTCAAAAATAGATTTTTTTATAAAACTTCAATGTCGAGAACTCAACTATTACACAAAAAGTAGCAAACACGTAACCAGAAAGTAAAAGTAAAAATAGACTGAAGAGATCATCCATAGTTAATGGTTGAATATTTGGAATATTATCGATATTCTTTAAATCTGGTGCATCAGGATTTATTAGGCCAGCTTGTGATAAACGAGAAATGCTGAAGAAAAAAAAAATTAAATTATTACAGATATTATAATTAACAGAAATTTGATAACAGTAATAATTTACGTTTAAAAATATATAACATACATTTTGCTGATTGAATATCTCCGCTTAAAGTTTTTGTTCATTGCATATGATCTGGTAAATGTTACAAAAGAATCTTTCGAAATTATAAACTTTCCTTTTTTTTCTTTTCTGATTAACCTTACAAGATTTTCTTCTGTGCTGATGAATGAACTGTAACCTTTTATAACTCTTTTCATACCAACATCTCCATGATAAATGTTTCCATTTTTTTTAATATGATCTGCAATAACTTTAGCGGCTCCGGCTTCAGAATTCTATTTAAAACAGTAAAGTTCATTTATTCTACGAAAATTATATATTTGTATTTCTTGTTTGTTTAGCTGCATAAAAGTGTTTAGTCTATTTTTATAAACTGAAACACCAGAAAAAAACAAACAATTTAAAAATCGAAGAAAACTTCACTCATAGCATTTTAAAAATGATCAATCATACCACATTAACAAATAAATTATCGTCAAAATTGCATTGGGAACTTGTTTTATTAACAGCAAAATTTTACTAAAATTTATTGAGTTACTTTGATTTAAGTAACAGTTATTTTATCAGCATTGTTTATTACTTTGAAAAGACAAAAAAGTGAGTTTTTCACTAATTAAGTTTCTATTAAATCTAATTGATAAAAAATATATTGACATGTGTATGAAATAATTGAAGAGTGTTACTTACCAATACAAAAGTACTTAAAAAACTTCCTGTTAAAGTTCCACACGAATATTTTCCTTTAGAAATAGCAGAAGCAAGTTCTGAAATTGTATCTGGAACTGGGTCGTAATGTGGTGAAGTCAAAGATGATATCACCATGCTGCTGTAACAGAAAATTAGCACGGTAGAGGAAACTAAACACGTTCCAATAAAAATTCTAGTGGAAAATGTTTTTACGTTCTTCAAGTCTCCACCTACATAATTTGGAAGATTAATCGCTAAAATTAATATTAATATATTTTACTGTTACTTTTATAACAAAATTTCTGAAACACTCAACATCCTCAATAAAAAACAATAGTATGAATTTATTTTGTTTGTTGGTAATTCGTAAAATGAAAATTTTTGATGTCAAAATTAATGAATAAAAACGATTGGATAATATCAAATTAATAAAGATTTAGGAAAAATGTTCATATTTACATAATTTTTGTTTATTTACTAAATTTGCGAATTCTCACTGAAATACATGCTAATTTCATCAAAAACAACAAATGCATAATATTCTAAGACAATGAAATCTAATCTTTATGTTTTTCACATTGTCAGTCATAGCTTATAAACAAAAGAGTATTATACAAAAATTTATGTATATATTTTCAAGTAAAAATATAAATACGTTTTTGTTCACATAAAAACTAGGTATTAAATATAGATTTAAAAAGGAGTAATTGTTATTGTGACATTGACACAATGCTCGCAGTGCAATTGTAATCTTATTTTTAATACATTCAATTTTAAATAAATTCTCTTCTTCTTAAATTAGTAGTTGTCTGCCTGTATACATCATACTTTTTCTTTAAGTATGGAGTCGTGCCAGTCATCTATCTAATGCCTTTCAGGGAAAAACTTTTGTAATCGAATGACTTACAGTTCCAATTAAAAGATTTTTATGGTTAATTAAAACCTGTTAATAACGAATTTCAGACCTGTATAAAAATTTTTATCTACATAACTGCTTTCTCGAGATTGCGGAAATCCAGTTTAACCGACAAACAAACAGGATACAGCGTGGATTTACAGCTACAATTTTTTCAAATCGCAGCCAAATAATAACAATATAGATGCAGTAGCTTTCGCCATCAGGATATTAATGCTTATAGAACTATTTTTTTAAATTTTGCCGAAAACAATTATAAATCTATATAAACTATATCTACATGTAAAACTGAAATTATTATATAAAATAGATTTTGTTAGAATTGGATTTTTAGAAACATTGTACCTTCAAACATTACAATAACTTTGTACCTTCAAACATTACAATAACTTTGTACCTTCAAACATTACAATAACTTTGTAACTTCATAAACAGTAAGATCATGTCAGTTCGAATAGGTCTTTGTAAAGTAACAGCCAACACAAAAAAAGATGATTTGGCAAACAAAGATCACGAGCATAGCCATAATTATCATTAATTTAAAAATACGTTTAAAATGTTGGGAAAAATTACTGTCTATTAAATGTGATGACAACAAAAATATCGTACTTTGAATAGTAGTGCTGTGTCGTAAAGTAGACTTAATAAAGATAAAAACATTTCTGAGTCGTATTAATGTATTAAGTTAACTGTACCAATGAATTGCAGTGAGCGAGACTACCACTATTCGAACGATTCGTTACTAACGCGTTTAACTCGGTGGACTTTACGAACGTAAAGTCCAACGAGTCACCAGGTCGTTTTTTCAGAAATTATTTTATTATTATAATTGGAAGTATTTTGTGTTTTAAAAGTGTATTGTCTTGGAACATAAAAAAATAAAATGGCGATCGTTTTTGTACAGATATCGTTTTCATTCTTATTGTATACTTGATTGATTCATGTGTAACAATATCTTAACTGAGTAAGAAACCCAAATTTCGAAATGCATTTTAGAAAATTTCTGTATTAAATGTAATTGAGCAGCAATTTTAAAAATTGCAGGACCTATAACTATACACTGTTTGACAGATTGGCAAAAGAAGAGATATTAACATACGACAATATAATATTTATGTCTTTATTTAATTATAAATGCATATACGTATAATTATTACAAACACTTTCTGTTATATTACTGTGAAAATAAATAAAATGTTTTCCCTACCTTGATTACAATGAATGCCAAAAAAGTACCAATATATTTTTGTTATTTTCCAACGTTCAGTTATTTCGTTGAATAGAGATGCCTTCTTTTCCACTTCGTTAAATACACAGGTAGAGATAATTATGCTAATAACAATGAAAACCCATATCTACGAAAAAATATTTGTCTATTTTATATACCTTGCAATTAATTTTAATATGCAGAAAATCCCAAACTTACTTCGAAAGAAAACGGTTCGATTACCGAAGACCAGTTCTTTGTTGGTATCGACTTTTTAACCATAAATTTGATACTACAGAAATCGACAGGAGAAGAAAAATAAAGTTGTCTGTACCGTTCTTCTGTTATGAAAATTGGAAAGAAAATCATATCTGCTTTCTGAAAAAAAATAAACTTAACTCCATTTGCTTTCATGATATTTTACTGTATTTTAGTATCTCTATATACGTAATTGTTACACTATAATAAATTCTACGATAAAAAAAACTATAATTCATTAGATACTTAGATTCGATTTTCATTTACTACTGGATTAATATTAATAAAACTTTATTGGTTATTTTTAAAAGTTACCGATATCTCATCATAACAAATCATTAAAAGTATACTAATAATTTATTTCGTTAGTTCAGCAGATATAACAACAATTATAACAGGTTTATAAAACATAGAGTTAAAATAATAACAAAACTTTACATTATCAAGTAATTGTCCCATGGTTCCAGTTATTGTTCCATTTTTTAGTTTTTTATCAAATTGTTTTGGAATTGGTTTCACTAATTCGTATCTAAAATGAATAAAATATATGTCAGACAAGATTTCCAAAAAATATTACAGTAAAGTGTCGATTATCCGAATCAATTGGGGACAGGAGTTGTCCGGATAACTGATGTTTCGGATAACCGATTATGTACGAAAAAATAGTTTAACGTATNTGTTAATTTTAAATTTGAGGACATCTTAGAATAATTTTAAATACCAGTTTCCTGTGTATACTTCACTTTGTGAAATTTATTGTTCGCTTTTCATACATATAATAACGAGTTTTTGAATTGCAATTTGAAAAAATGTACTGTACACCAATAAATTCCCACTGTCGTTTGCTTGTCGTTCTTTAATCTCGAGAAAACAGTTAAAACTGAAAATGTAGAAGTTAGAATTGGTACGAGAAAAGTTATTAGACACCAATTAACTGTACATGAACTTCAGACGCAAATTTAAACTCAGGTTATTTCAATTGAAATCGTTACTCCTGAAAAAAGTCATTTATATGACAGTCATGACTGTGCTGCTAACAGAAAAAGTTTTATGTACATATGCAAGTTACTACCACTTTGATGTAGAGATAATGCCATGTAATTTAAGGTAAATAAGTTTAAAATATGCTTAAGAATTGCACCCCTGAATTGTGACAAGAAATATTGGCTCGTTTCTTAGTAGTGTCATCGAGATATATTTATATTTATTAGTGGTTCTCGATTTTGTTTTATAATGCTTTCCTTCTTTCTGTCGATCAGTCCTGGACTCCAATATTAATCATATTTGTTATTAATTATAATTTTGATTAAAATAATGGTAACTAAACAGAAGATATGTAGAATGTGTTTGTGTCTTTGGTGTCGAAATATAAAGTATACAAATCAGAATACTAGAATTATAAACTTTTATTTAACTTATATGTGAAAACCGTCATATAAAACATTTATAAAAAAAATATATATGAAACATCTGTAATGAAAAAAATACGATGTTATAAATTGCAACGTAAACTCTATTCATTGCTCTGTTTATCTAGAAATTTAATTTCCTTGTAGTCCCATTAATTTATCTATTGATACATGTTGTAAATTGAGCTTGAAACTACGCGAATGGTATATTAATTAAAATTCCTCTTTGATACGCCATAAAATAATTTTGTTCAACGTTCATGAGATCAGCTATTGTAATTCTACCCTAAGACGTGAATTTTTCCTCAAAGTAAATAAGTATATATAGCTGTTTAGCACTTTGTATACACAATATAACGCTGCACACACTGTGCTGGTGTCAGTAGAAAGAGGAAATCCAAAGAAAGCCAATCGGTTAGAATTGTTGTCCAAGTAACATGAATAAATTACACTTTCTATATCATAATTTTATTCATAAAACCTTTATAATTTTTCATAACTTAGAATTATGAATAAACAAACACTTCCATATAAATAAACAAGACTAATTAGTAAATACTAATTAGTCTTGTCTATAAATATGAAAATTTTTGTTTATTCATAATTTAATGAAATAAAATTCATTACATTGAAATGGAATGGTTTAATATGATTATATCATCTACAGTACGCTCTGTTAAAGTATAATGGATCGATAAAGATATTTGTTTTAAACATTATTGAAAAATTTTAACGTAATACTTCTATGAAAAACTCATTTAAGAGAAAATTCAACTGAAAGAATAGTAACGAAATAATTTAAATATAATGTTTTTTTAATAAATGATTACGTTCTGTTTATGATAAGTGTAATAAAGATCGCTTGAATAGCGTCTAAACTTGGAAATTGAATTTTTGGCATGTTTCTTGCAGAAAACTGTCAATTAAAATTGTTTAACATTCCATACTAAGTACGTTTACACCAGAGCCTTAATTAGGATTTTGGACGCCTATGGCCAAGAATAAAAATGGCTCCTTTTTATTTTATTCTAAAAAAGTGCTGTTATAAAAAATTATGTAATGACATTTAAATATCATACAAATATAATTTTTTTTTGTGTTATTAATTTCAAATACATATTATTTTTAAAGCTTCTCGTTGAAGCCTTTATTAAATCGGTGCCTATGGCGGGGGCCACATTGGCCATAGCCTTGTTACGGCTCTGGTTTACACATATATTACTTGAATTAAGTTTACTTTATAATACGTTATTAAGAAATACACTACCTAATTGAGATTGTTTTCGTTTCCTTGTACTGTACATGAGCAGTCAATATGTATCGCAGATAAGTAAAAAATTTATGTTAAGTGTTTATAATTTAATATATGAAGAACCAAAAAAGATCAGGCACTTGTATAAAATGCCTACTGAAACCTCTCTTGATGGCCATCTTGCTGGTTCGAATAAAATTCACGAGTCCCTGCCAGTGTGCCTGTAAGACAACTATTTGAAAATTCGAAAATTATTGTATTACCTACCAGAACATGATAGAATTCTCGTTATGGGTTGGCGTATTAGTTTTGGAAGCAATATTTTTTGGAATAAATGTAATTTGCATCAAATTGATGAACTTATTCAAAGAAACCATTGTACTTAAAAAGTTTGTTTGTCTTTTCATATCATTTTATATGGCTCTACAATACAGAATGTTGAAAAAGAAATCCAATAACTTTCAATGAAAACAATTTTTCGGTTCAAGATAAATTAGTGAACCAAATTGAGCCATCGTGTATTATGGTGCTGTTTAGTATATTTCCCGTAATTATGTCGGTATCGTTCAACGCATCTGTTATAAGTTTCGCCAGATTAAAGAAGGAAGCCTGTAACGACATAAAATTATGTGTGTGTTCTAATTTGTTTTACTTGCTGTTATAGCCGCGTTGTGGCAGATGATATCTGTAGTGATTATAAAAGGTTTAGTAATTTTCATTATCAGCAAATGTTACAAAAATTTATCTAAAGACCTACAACAAATGAAGCTGCGGTCGGTATCAAACACAGAAGTCAAAAATTTCACCGAGAAACAGAACCAACTTTGGGAACTATGGCAAGAAGTGACCAGAAAGCTTGGTTATTTTCCACTTCTTTAATATAGACATTTCTATTTGACATGTTTCTTTCTCTACGGCGCACTGTTTGTTGATTTACCTACACTGTTAATGATTCTGTTCTGGTTTATTTTTATAATCTTGATATTTAGAATAAATTTTTAAGCTTCACTTATTGTATCGAATATTACATCAACTGTAAGTTTTGATTTTTATTATTTCTAATGTTATATGTTCGTACGCACTAAAAGAACCGTTAAACGGGCAGTTAAAACGTAGATACTTCTATTCTAATGGCTGTTCTTTGTTTTATTACATTTTAGAACTACGAAATTTTTGTGACATCAATGTATTGGCAATTTGTAATTTCAATGTCAACCTCAAACTCTAAGTATGTTTTGTTGTAACTTAATTATATTTGTGTTAACAAGCTCTTGCTGTGATTATGTTACTTTATTTTGCAGATTCACACATTTATGAAAAGATTTGAAAAAATGCGTATCGGTATTTGTATTGCAGAATTATTTCTTGACAAGGATAATTTCATCCTTAGAGTAAGAAATAATTAAATGTGCGTTCGAAACTTTAAATCTTAATGGTAAAATGTGCGTTTCGTTACATATATATAATTTATAAGAAAAACATTCATAATGTAAAACACATATAATATTAAAAAAATGATTAATGTAAAACATGTGAACAACAGAAAATATAGCAGATATTTTAATTAACTATCACATGAAAATGAATTATAATAACAATTACCGTTATCTACATTGAAACTCGTCAGTTAATTTTGTTATTAATGAACATTGTCTTCTAGTTTTCATTCTTTTCATTTCGATGTTTCGCATTTGATATACTACTTTCGAATTGTTTAAATGTTAAAACTTAAAATATAGTATAGTCATCGTTATCCATAGAGAGCATAAATAAATAATTAACTGTAATTGGCTCTTCCTGTTTCCAGACTGATTAGAGAATTTTTACATGGGTCTAAAAATATGTTCGATTTCTAGCAGAAACACTAAAAACCGCATCTTCGTCTGTAAACCTTGCACTTCGGTTTCTCTTAAATCTTTTATTGTTAACACTTCTATTCTTAACATTTCCATTGTTAACACTTTCATTTATACTTAACACTTTCATTCTTAACATTTCTACTGTGAACACTTCTATTGTTACTTAACATTTCCATTGTTAACACTTTCATTGTTAACGCTTCACGCGGGGGAAAATTTCGAAAAATCTCTTTTTAGTGTCATAATAGTGTCATATACTCGTCGCATACCGTATTAAATCGCAATAAAAAACAAAGAAAAAAATCACATTTAAAATGGGATAATGGAAGCCGAGATTATCACGAAAAAATGTAATCCTGTCCCTCTCTTCCGACAGGAAGAATTCCGAAAAGATTCCTTCTTAGTGTATGTTCTCGTGACATACCCTAACTGTGTACCAAATGTTCTGCACTTATTATTATTATTATTAATATGAACTTATTTCGAATGTATATAGATTACAATTTATGTTACAGTTTCAATTAATTATAAACTTCATTTTACATTTATCGAATGATAAACAGTAATTTCCCGTAACCCTTTCCGGATCACGAGGCATGTGTGACACGCCCGGTGGCAGTTTTTCCGGCAGCATTTTTCCAGAAATTTTTCAAAAAATTTCAAAAAATTCAAGTTCTGTAATTTTTTCGTGCTGGAAAATTGCAATAAATAACGTTTTTAGTTTGTGCCGAGTTTACTCGCAAAAACAAGTTGAAAAAGTGCCAACGTCTCGCAAACTCCGCTTGAAAATTTGAATAAAAAATTCTGCAAAAAAACACGCTTGCGATAATCGCTACCGTCGGTCGCGACCGTCGCGATCATTTTTTTCCGCAATCAATTTTTTTCTTACAATAATTTTTCTTATATCAAGAAAAAGATCGATTTTAGTCGGATTTTTAAGTGAGATATCGCAATTTATTATTACACCCAGCGAAGTCTCATTATACTCTGCGAGAAATTGCGTTTGTCCATGCGATAAATAACAGCAAAACAAATTTTTAAAATTAATTACTCTAATACAAATTGCGCTAACTCTACAATTTTTGTTTCTTGGTGTAACAATTTNTATTGAAAAATATAAAAACAATAAAAAATTATACTTCAGATGTTAATTTAGTATCAAAAACGTAAAATATTTGAGTAGCCCAAGACATAGCCAAAGATTGAAGCGCCACAGCACTGGCGAAAATTTAAATTTGCCGACTGGAATTCTTTCGGATAATTGACGTTTCGGATGATTGGCTTTCGGATAATCGACGCTCTACTATATATTATCAATTAGCATAACGTATTTTTATTCCGTTTTGTGAGAAGATGTGTTAAATAATTTTAGGTTGATTCAAATATCTCTATTATTATGCAAACGGTATATATAACGGTAACTGTAAGTCACATTATTATTCAGTGACTTACAGTTCACAGAATACAGTTCAGTTTATCTCAATGTACTGTACATCGATATTTTCCCTACTCATTAAGAATGCATGTTGACATGCGAAATGCTGTTTGCATAGACAAATCGAATAGGTTTTTTTGGAATGTGCTGATCAATACATATAAGAACAAAACACTAGTAGTTGATCGTAAGTTTAGTCCTGACCAGTGGGCTGATGCCCATTCCCATTTTTTCCCTTGTATCTAAATAGATACCATCATATCATGTAAAGTTTTTTCTTCAAGGAAACTTGTCTGTCAGACTGTCTCAGTATTTCTTTGTGTAATTCTTCAAGTAACCAACTCATCTTTAAACAGTTTAAATTTTCTATAGACATTTGCATCAGCCAATAAAACGTAACAAAATATCTAAATGTCGCAATATTGATACATAGATGTATACATATTGCGATGGATACAACCATTTACAATAATTGTATATGATAGCAATTAGATAAATACATGAAAAAGTAAAAAAAAAAAAAACAAGTTGAACCCGTACCAGAAATACAGGATTAAAATAGGTACGGGTAAAATATCGTTTTTTTTGTGTGAATTTAGAATCCAAATGCCATTTTTCTACATATTCAAGTTTGTTTTAAAATGTATTGTAACCCTGATACGAGTTTTTCTGTTTTTTATCGAAAGTCTTCCTTGCCAAACATGCAATAACATTTTTCCTGTTGTAATTATGCCTTCTCCATCAGACTCGTATACATTCGAAACACATTAATATCTCAAGGAACAAGCTAAAGACTCATGGAGTGCATGAGTTCAACGTTGTCTTTTGTTGTATAAGTTGAAGAATATCACGCCCCTAAGTGTAATCAATGACTGTGATTCAATTATCGAACAACGTGTATCATTTTTAAATCTTCTGGTTCATCCAAATGGCCCGACGAATTCTAGAACTAAAAACAGAATAACATCTGCAGCCTTGTAGCTGAAAATATTATTACTGTTGACAGCAAATCTCATCGAAATATCGTTCATGATCAAACGATCTTCACCAATTGCAATTCACTTTTTGACTCTCCCTTGTATATAAGCTCGTTTCATAATTTCGAAAATGTCAATTGTTTAATTGATATTTTCAAAATTTTCACATCTTATATATAATTAGGTTATAAATTACAATGATATAAAAATTATCTTTACATACTGAAATTTCAGTATCTCTTGAATATATTTGAATGTCTTGAGACTTGGACTCCAAATAACTTGCTTTTGCTTTTCATCTACTTTCATAACATATTCGTGCTGAAATTACAAAAATTAATGTTAATATTTCGTTGATATTCACTTTTCGTTAACTAAATATTATGGCGTATGAGATACCTGCATTCCTGCTATTTTCCATATAGATTGGTCAGTGTTAACTAAAAATAGACCAAAACAATTTTTATAATTATATTTTCTATAACGTGTTACACATTTCATTGTTAATTCGCATCTGTGAAAATCCGAATCCTGGCATTCAGAATGTTTACATTATCCCATAACGTCACATTGAAACTATAACCTGGTTAAATAACTGAACTTTTACACGTGGGAGAAAAACATCTGTTCAGTTCTCAGGTCAGGCAACGACACTTTCTCATTACCTCTCGACCTATTATCTCGATTTCATCTGTTCAAGATAGAACAGAACAACAAAGTTAGGAGATTCGCCGCCGCCCCTTCGATAGAGATAGTCATCACCCAGCCCTCTAACTAAAGTTTTCACAGTAGCGTAGCGTAGTGGGGGCGACTCACCCCGGGAGGCACTTTTTAGGGAGCGGCAAAATTACGTTTTAGGGGGCGGCAAAATTTCACAATAAATAATAATAATATCTTGTATGAATTTGATCCATTTTATTTTGTATTTTCGTGCATTTACGATTGGGCCGGTTTGAATTGGGCTTGGATTTTCTTCGGGCCGTTCGGGGATTGGCTTGGCGTTCCGGGGTTTTTTTGGGTACTTTTTCACTTTTTTTTTTTTTTTTGTTTGTTTGATTCGTTTGTATATATATATATACACCTTCATATCCAATAGAGCTAGGTCACTTGCGTTACTCCTATCCAAGTCTTCCTAGTCGCTAACTGTAACTGATTTAGATCCAGCATGCACTGCACATTATTTTTCTCATTGCAAAATTACATACGCATGCGTCAGGAACTTCCGTTGGAACAAACCTGACCTGCCGTCCGCGTCAGCGATTTTAAAATAAAGTGGCAACACTAGCACGGAATTTTTCATTACTTATTCTGTGACGAAACTGAATTTTAGTCTTTTAAATTGAGATACCTAAATAATGGGGGCCGAAATTTTCCTCCGCCCCGTGTGGCTGACACCCACGCTACGCCATTGAGTTTTTATGTCCAATGTCATCACGTCCGCGAAAACGAACTTATTAAGTGCTTAAAATCACCGAGTAACGTCGTCATCTATTAACCTATCAACCGCAAACCAGGTATTTATCGCCGCGCGCATTTACTATAAACTCTCTTTCTCGAGAATCGCGAAACTTTAAGTTAACTCCGTCTATTATATACAGTAGAACCTCGTTTATTCGGATCTCCATTATCCAGATTTTCGATTATCCGGATTGTTCAAAATAAGCAAAAATATTACGAATTTGCTGATTTGCACTTGGCGAATTACGACACTGTTTATGTACTGTACGTGATGGAATGCATAACTTTTTTGTTTCAACAACTTCTCACCTGGCACAGTGGTCGTAAACTCTTAAATATATTTTACGTTGTAATATGAATATAACTTGACATACGTATTTATAAATAATTTATATTCAAATTACATCATTTCTATGACCAAAAGCGACGTAAGGCATGGGCGACGTGGACCACCGCCTATGCCTCACTGTCCGAAGGGCCTCGCGCCTCGAAAGTTTATGAATTACTTAAAAGCCGCAAACGCGACAAAAAATTTTACTCATCATAAAATGATAAATAGTTTGTCAAATTTTTATTCATAAAAGTGCAGTTTCAACTGCATTTTATTTTACAAAATCCGTCTTCTTGCGCCACCAGAGGGCCTTTTAAATTAAACAATGGGTATTCTGTTATCGTTGGTCAGTAGTAGTCCAAATTCAATACGAACGTTTATTTTTTGAAAATTTGATCACGATTTAAATACAGTATTTATTTTTAATATTACCGATATGTCATCGAAAAGAACACGTGTTGTATTATTATTAAAAGACAAATTAAAGTATTTGTTTCGATTATCCGAATTTTTTCTTATCAGGACTACCTTCATCCTCAATTAGTCCGGATAATCGAGGTTCTACTGCAATAACAGTTTGAAAAAACTGTGCCATACAGCTGACGAGCTCGGGTGTGAGTCTTTGGGAAGACTGAAGAATTCATGTTTGCCATACAGAAAACTGCAGAAAACATGACATCATTGAGTAAAATATGCCCTCTTGAGTATAAGATTAGTGTTGCTTTTGTAGTTTACTCAGACTTAGGCCACGAGCTTCACAACGCTTGCTTTTGTCTAGATGCACACTGCTCAATAGATCGGTGGAAACTTTAGATGTTTATATGAGCTTAATTCACATTAGGTGTAGGAAGGACAAAAGACACTACTTACACTATCGCATTTATTCTGACAGCAGGGCAGTTTTACAAAAGATTGCAAAGTCTGATAGCCACTTTATCTTATAAACCACATTTTCGTATACTTCCTGTGTTAAAGAATCTGAATGGTCTGACCAATCAACGACTGGTCTACCGTTACAGAAGTTAGTGGCAGAAAGATCGCATTGCATCGTTAAACGCCACAAAACGAATCAGCTGACGTTATTACTTTAAAAATGGTTATATTGTTTATTGGAAGAGCTTTTACGTGATATTATGATTGTAATTAAAAACGAAAAAAATACAGTAAAGCGTCGATTATCTGAATCAATTGAAAACTGGGGTTGTTCGGAAAATTGATATTCCAAATAACCGATTATGTACGAAAAAATATATTAACCTATCCCATATTGAAATTTTTATCCGTTGCGTGTCGCTTCGCATTGAATTTTCGTCAATGTTAAGCCTAACGTAAACTTTTTAAAATAATAATCATGGCTACTGTATCGTTAAAAATTATTTCTTTGTTTTGTACAAACAAAATAAATATATTGAAAAATATAAAAACAATAAAAAATTATACTTCAAAAGTTAATTTAGTATCAAAAACGTAAAATATTTGAGTAGCCCAAGATATAGACAAAGATTGAAGCGCTACAGCACTGGCAAAAATTGAAATTTTCCGACTGGAATTCTTTCGGATAATTGATGTTCCGGATAATTGACTTGCGGATAATCGACGCTCTACTGTAACAATATTAAAAATAGTATTATTCAAAGACGGCCAAAGGGTCAGGAAGATTAAGACAACGAGAAAAAACTTGCCAGAATAATGGATCAAATCCGTTCAAGAAATAAGGTAGTGAGTTTAAGTGTTTTTAATTGTTTTCTGTTAAATTTAAACACATTCTTGTTTGCACCTTTACTTTACGCAGGGGTGGATCTAGGTTTTTCGGGCCTAGGGCTTATTAAAGTCGATTTTTTGTTAATACAAATAATTCTATAAATCATCATTACTATTATGTTATTAATATTAACTATTTTTTACTGTACGATAAGTAATCCTTGTTCATGAAAAAATGATTAAAAATTTATGATAATAATTCAAGATTTGTAGGCCTTGATACGTGTAGGCATAGTAGTTAATCTATATTAGTTTTTATGTAGATTCTCTACTGGCCTTACGTGATTCTGAAGATTTTCCTGCACACGGCAATTAGCATTCAGTAATTTTTCATAAAGAATTAATGGTTTTTTTTAATCAAGAAATACTTAATGGCAGTTAGGTCATTTAAATTCACGAATATATATTTAATAATAACCAAAATTTGGAGAAATGGTGAACCTAACACTGTTATGTATATTACAATGTAACGTTTTACATCTTTAAGACAACCTTTGATTGCGTATAACAAATCTAATTACATCCTAATATAAGGATATATCGCGAATATTTTAAAAAATTTTCTCTGCGTTTTTCGTATCCAGATCTTCCATCGAATTATTTGCGAGGTTGCGACCGACGTTTTCAACGCGAAAATGTGTACGACGGACGTTTAGCTCCGCTTTCCTGTATGTCTAGAAGTTTTACAATGGCGTTTAAAACGTCAGTAAAATTATTCTCGACAGGAAGGATAAATAAAACAACCAGCGCAAGACAGAATGTAGTGGGTACAATAAATAAATTCAAAAATATTCAAAGGGTGTCGAAAAACACGTGTATGAGTGTTGTGGTGTTGTGCTGTCTTGCAGAGAAACCTAGGTATAGCAAAAAAGTCAAATAAGTCTCATTCCTGTGTTAGAGATGAGGTATTTCATAGGAGTAGATGGCAAAACGAAAAGCGATTGTGTTATAAATGAACAAATGCTGGATGAAATTAGCTCTGTAATAGTTTGGCCATGTTAAACACATAAAAAGAAAACTGTTCAAGGTAGTATATATGGGAAGGATAGAAAAGAAATATGGTAGAGGAAGGCTGAAAGGATGCATGGTGTTATATCAAAGAAAGAATATAAAAAAGTTTAATAAAGTAACATGGAATCTTTTAATGCAAAAATATGTGTCCAGAAAAGAATGTGCAAAGAAAAATGCTAAATCGATAATCTGTAAGATTTTAGTTTCTTTTTGCCTTTTGCGTATTTTTTTTGAATCATAAGCGTGAAGATGTATGTAGCGTTATCTTACACATATTTAACCTTATAACTCAAAACGATTTTCGAAATGCCAATTTACTTCAAAATAATAATTATAACGAGAACTCTTTATAAGTGTATCTTTACTTGTATATTATAAAAATTTGTAACAAAAAAATTCAAATGCTTACAAAAAAATAAAATAATAAAAAGAAGATATTTTAAAATTATTTTATAACTAGCAGGTGGGCCCGGCGTTGCTCGGGCAAAAGTAACGATAACTAAGATAAAGATTATTACGTTACAGTCAACCTTACCCGTTTTGACAGAATGCAAGAATTGGGTCCCCCTGTTTCCAGACTAATTAGAGAATTTTTAGATGGGTCTAAAAATATGTTCGATTTCCCACAAAAACGAAAAAAACTGCATCTGCGTATTGCACGTCGCTTTCTCTTAACAATTCCATTGTTACGTAACATTTCCATTGTTGACACTTCCATTGTTACTTAAAACTTTTATTGTTACTTAAAACTTTCATTGTT